AAATAAACGTCGAAACTATTTTTAGGAAGACGTTTTGTCCTATCTTAATATTCATTCGTTTGAACTTAACTACTAACTTCTCTTCTTTCCAGCAGATGACGCTGCCTCACCTTGATGTAACGTCAGTTAACAACTCTTCCTTCACACAACGTTCCAGCAACTTATTGGTCCGGACGTCAGGCTGCACTTCCTATCTAAACCAAACTGTTCGGTAAGTAACTATCAAGGGTTTTCTATTTACTAACACAAGATAAATTATTGTTTTTATTCACCAATCACTAAACTTTTATTTTTCAAAAAAGTAACTTAACATATCAGAATGTAAAATGATACCCGCTGAGTGTTAAAGCTGTTTCATTAATTTTTTTTATTACCTAAATCATATGGTTAATTTACGCGTTGCTAGCTTCGCACTTTTTCTGCTGTGATAGTTAGGTTAGATAGCGGATCATGACAGGCCAGGAGAACTAAAAATGACTTGAGAACCTGGCAACAACAAAGAAGTATGTAATAAGACAAAAGATTTTAGAGGTTTTTTAAATTCATATGTTTTTTTATTTATTTTTTCTTGTAGCAAGATACACGTTGATGAAAAATTCTGATATTATCTAAATGAAAACTCGATTCAATGACAATTTTTATTTTTAAGAAGTTAACTTGTGTATTGGTTCTAGTTAAAAATAGAAAACCACGATCTTCTGCAACTGAGGTAATCTAGGTTAGAATATTTGTGGTTAAGTTTCAGATACTAAAATAAATTATTACTTGTCTTTCTTGGAAAATCGGAAACTTTATCATAAGGTGGTGGAAAACTTTACAACCGAAAAGAAGAGGATATACATACGTATCCGAACTTTCTGAGTTTCGTTTTGTTAAACTTAGGTTTTTTGTTTTGTTTTTCCTTGAAACGTTCTATCACGTACTAACAATAAACACGAAGCCCAGTCTGTCATTCGATTCGCCACTTGTCAGTGGTGTATATCTGTTCAATATACAGATGTTTTCGTAAAGCTTTATATAAACTTGTGAATAAAAGAGAAATAACACACCAAACATGTTTCTGTCACTCACATTAACATAATCATGTCCAATCGGATAATCAGATATAGAGTGACAATAGAGCACATAACAGGTCATCAGTCATCACACTTGGGACAAGTAACTCAAGTTGACATGTATTATTATAGAAGTGAAATGTGTAGACTTTTAGTTACTTTTTATTTGTTGCCAGCTTCACCTTTTATAAGGTATCCAACTTCGTGATTGGACTCCAGACCTCATATATATATGAATTACTTTTATCTAACAATTTCACCTGATCTATATAAAAGTCAGTGTATGTCACGTCACGTTTGATTTCTCTAAGTAGAAAGAGTCATAAACGCCAAAATGCGTTTATCAATGGGGCCGTGATGGTGTGTGTGTGCTGTGAAACCTTATAAGTGTAGTGAGTGTTGGTATAATAAAACTAAAGTATAGACGTAGTGTTGGATCACCTAGCCTAGAGCCAAGTGCATAAAATTTATCATGAAAGTAAAAATGTCGATTCAATTTTAAACTTAAATTGTTTCTGAATTAAGCTATGTTCTTTAATCCATGGAGATTCTAAATTAAGAAATCAACAAATATATATTTTTTTCCAGTTTTGTTGTCTATACATTTCATTATGTACTTTAAGTACATAGACTAAAAACAATATTATATTTTTGTTGCTAAACAACATGACCTAAAGGCCATTGTTGGAACGTAGTTTTATTAAAACGCACTGGCTTTTCTGTATATTAGAAGTTGTTAATCTAACTGATTTTTATCAATAATTATTCAATGAACACACTGCGAATTCATTTTATGAATGATCTTAATTTTGACTGGTCTACCATGGAACTTACCGACGTTTGACTGCTTCGACTGTCCTTTTCTGCCTCTTTGTTGGTCAAGCTTATTTCGCAAAATATATTTTTTCAGCTAGCTATGAAATGTGAGGTTAGAGTATACTATGAGGTGGGGTGGAAGTACTTTCCCTGTTATGTGCATTTCTTACACTTTTGTATGATTTTTGTGTTGAATTAGCAACACTTTCCATACTGGAGTGCATAAAAAGGTTGCATTATGGCCTAAACGTTTATTTGATGTACATACAGATGTATAATTCGGTCTTTATGATCTTTGTAAAGGCTGCCAGTCTTGACGTTGTTCTCTTTGGTTGAAGAATGGTCATATTTCTGGTTTATCTGGTTCGTAATCTGACAGCGCAAACCCAATAGTTGCAGTCCAAGGAAAATAAGCCTCCTTCCATCTTGGAAACCCATTCCATGACGCGTAATCGAATATTTGGGATAAAACCTCAATCCGGATTAAAGGAATTTATTTCATGAAATGAATCACATGACGCGACATTGCTGATAAATCAGTAACTTATGAACAGTAACTTGCAAGCGTCTGTGACATTCGGTTACAATCGTCTGTAAGACTACACAACCAGTTAAGAACAACATATTGTTACAAATTATACTATCACTCATTATGTACCTTTTGAAATTCAGTTGCAGGTGTAACAAGTTTGTGTTTCGTTTTATACCTAAATGTTCGTAGTGTCCATTGTCGTATATAAATCTATTTGGAGGTGTTAATTTCTCGCAGTACGTAATATTCAATCGTGAAGAAACCACGATGAGCTATCTGCTCTGTCCACCACAGGGAATCGAGCCCCGAATTTTAGCGTTGTAAATCTGGAAATTTACTGGTGACTCACAAGGGAACGAGCTTTAATTTATTCTCTGTACGTATTAAGTTACATTGGGAATATGAGATTAATATTTTTATGTTGTTGCAAAATTAAGATGTTAAGATGACTACAAAGTTATGTTTTTCACGACCTTGCTAAGATGAAGAACTGAAGCTGCTAAGTTCATATATCGATAAGTATATCTTACCTTTCTGCGTGTTTCAACAATATTGCCAAGCTCACAGGTCAATTGATATATCTTATATTATTAACAGGGGGCTTCAACAACGTTGCTAAGTTCATATATCAATAAGTATATCTTACCTTTCTGCACGAGGTTTCAACAATGTTGTTAAGTTCACAACAAGGGACTTCAACAATGTTTGGACCACTCACAGTAATTAGACATGTCACTACAAAGTAACTTACCAACATATTAATCCTGATTTCAAAGACTTCGTGTTTGGTTTTATTGGACACCACAGTTGAATCTGATACACGCATGTTTAATGAATATTTTGAGGGGGAAACTCAATGGTGGATTTGGGAAGACATTTTTCACTCTCTAACGTTGACTTTATACAGTTTACATTTAACTTTTATTATGAATAGTATAACTGATGCCATGCTGTTATGCTCATTTTGCATTGTTAGTAAATTTCTACTGTAACGGCTGACACTGTCGAATTAAGTTTTTATTATATTAAGTTATTCCTATCAGTAAAAGCACAATGCATAACGTTATTAAGTTGAGGGATTTAATTAATAACTTTCAATGCCAAACTTTGTGAAATTTATGGTTTACTGTCAGTGAATTTTAATATCTGACTTTTAAGTTGAAAATTAACTGTCAGTAAATTCTAATATCCAACTTTTAAGCTGAAGATTAACTGTCAGTAAGTTTTAATATCCAACTTTTAAATTGAAGAAAAAGTCAGATATTAAAACTTACTGACAGTTAATCTTCAGCTTAAAAGTCAGATATTAAAACTTACTGACAGTTAATCTTCAGCTTAAAAGTCAAATATTAAAACTTACTGACAGTTAAAAGTTGAAAATTAACTGTCAGTAAGTTTTAATATCTTACTTTTAAGTTGAAGATAAACTGTCAGTAAATTTTAATATCTGACTTTTAAGCTGAAGATTAACTGTCAGTAAGATTTAATATCTGACTTTTAAGTTGAAGATAAACTGTTAGTAAGTTTTAATATCTGACTTTTTAAGTCGAAAATTAACTGCCAGTAAGTTTTAATATTTGACTTTTAAGCTGAAGATTAACTGTCAGTAAGTTTTAATATCCAACTTTTAAATTGAAGATTAACTGTCAGTAAGTTTTAATATCTGACTTTTAAGTTGAAGATAAACTGTCAGTAAGTTTTAATATCTGACTTTTAAGTTGAAGATAAATTGTCAGTAAGTTTTAATGCCTGCGTTTGTGGCGTTGAGAGTTGATTATTTATAAATTTCGATGGTTAACTTTATCAGAATTAGGGTTCGTTGTTAGTAAGTTATGGTGTCTAATTTTATGGCAGTTCAGAGTGTAATATCATAAGGTTTATTCGCTGAATCTATTAAAATGAAAGTTTTATGGTCACCACATTTTATTACTTGACTTCCAATACTATTATCAACAAGCTAATGTTTTATTGCATTGAAAATGTAATAAGTTTGTTATAATAGGAGTTTACTAGTTGTAAACTTTAATGCCCTATCAGTCACATTGAAGTTATATTATTATTAAGTTTTAACGTTCCTTTGTTGTATTCAGTATTTATTTCAGTGTATTTTAATGTCTGAATTTGTTAAATTAAAGATGTAATGAGAGTAATGCCTGACTTTGTTTCTTAAGAGCAAATTAAATTCAGCAAGTTTATTGCATAGAGGGTTAATTGTCACACATTGTAATACCTGACTTTGGTGAACAGAAGGTTTGATGTACGAGTTTTAATGTTTTACTTTATATGTGGGATATAATGTCAGTAAGTTTCAATAATTGATTCTATAACACTGATGTTTTTAATATCGGTTAGATTATAAATATTTATTGTATTTGTTAGAAGGAAAATTTAACGTCAGTAAGTTTTTAACACATGTCTTCGATGCACATTATAATATCTGACATTTTAACACTGAAACTTTATTATCGGCACGTTTCAATGATTAACTTTTCTTATATTGAAGGTGTAATATCAATAAGTTTTCATTCTTAACTTTCTTATATTTAATGTTGGGGCCCTGCATGGCCAGGTGGTTAAGGCGCTCGACTCGCAATCTGAGGGTCGCGGGCTTAAATCTCCATCTCACAAAACATGCTCGCCCTTTCAGCCATGGAGGTGTTAAAATGTGACGTTCAATCCTACTATTCGTTGATGAAAGAGTAGCCCAAGAGTTGGCGGAGGGTGGCGATGACTAGCTGCCTTTCCTCTAGTCTTGCACTGCTAAATTAGGGACGGCTAGCGCAGATAGCGCTCGTGTAGTTTTGCGCGAAACTCAAAAACAAACAAACATTTAATGTTTGTTGTCAATATGTTTCAATGTCTGGCTTTGTTACATTGAAGGTGTAAAGTCAATAAGTTGTAATATTTGCCTTCAATACATTGAACTTATAATGTCAGTGTATTATAATGATTAGTTTTGATACACTAAAGAAATACCGTCGTAATTCCTATTTTAGGTTTTTTAAAGTATTCAGTAAAAATGTTTTGTTCATCTTTATTTACAGAAAATTTAACTCCACAAAGTTCTGAGCTACTTCTGGAGTTTAGCAGGCTAGAGGAGATAAGGTGTCTTTAGGTGTCGTTGGCGTAGTGGAAAACACAGCAGGAGATATTCATTGGAACACTAGTCTTGTTTATATTTTGGGTATTTTTGACCCTATCCTGGAAAAAAAGGTAATTAAAACTTCGTATCTAAAGTATCACGAGTTGTTGGAATGAGCAGGTTCATTTAAGAAAATAATAACGAATGATATACGGTGTCACAATAAGTAAATAATATAGCGCTAAATAGTCCTTACACTAATTCTGTTGTGTTGTGAAGTAAATAACTTTACGGCATTGAGGGTTTGTTTAAGTAAGCATTAATGCCTGATTTTGTTCATTTAGTTACTAATGCTGGTAAAATTTAAATCGTGTTTTTCTTACAAAGTGAATTTAATATCAGTAAATTTTAATGCCTATGTTGCACTGAGGTTTTATTGTCTTAAAGCTTTAATGCCTAACATTATTAAAATCAAGGTTTACTGTCATTTATTTTTAATTCCTGAGTTTGTTCCAGTAAAGAACATAATTTCAGTGTATTTTTTTATTCACAGTGTATTGTTAGTATGTATTGACATCAAATTTTGTCACACTGAAGATATAATGACAGTATTTGTTCCTAACTTTGTTACATGAGAGGTGTATTGTCAGCACGTTTTATTAAGAAAATGGTTTAATCCCTGTATCCAGGGCGTATCTAATCAAGCTTTAGCTTAAGGTTTCCCCTCCCCCAAAGAGTCAGCAAAAATATTTCCAATGGTCAACAACTATGACTGCTGTTTATAATTTTCGTTTTCTGATGCTTTCATAAAGAGACCAATTTCAAGCTACTATCTATAAATAGACAGATCAGACGTGTCTAGCTAAATTTCTAGGAAAGTTTCTTTTTACTAATTTAGCTCTTTTTAGATCTTTTTTTATTGTCTTCTGTACTGTTGTCTGGAGCACGTGGATGGATTTTGCCACTAAGTTCTATTTCAGTGGATTCTCACCTGTTACAAGACGCTGCGCTTTACTTGCCATATCTGAAATACGACTTATTGCAGGTCACTTTCTGTATTGGCCTGAATCTCCAAGGCGATCCATATTCCTTTGTTTTTCAATGTCATCAAGTACAAGAGATATTCTAGTTTTGGAAAATATAAACTCCTAATATCAGTACATCTTTATGATCTGAATGTATGAATATTTTGCTTCGAAAAGGGTTGTTACGTAGCCTTCTCAAAAGTAATAAATGTTTAGTGGCATCATGCTATATCTACGCAACACCAAACACTGTCAAAATGTAGTTCTGATAAATTCCGTCCCATAGCAACTTCACATCAACGTTGGTTGTAACGATACTTGCTGAGTTGCATATTCAAAATTATTTTAACATATCCCTCTGTATAAAGTGACTTAGACTATACTGAGGTCAAATCATAAAGTAAACTTTGTTATCCTAACACAGATAACAAATCTATAGGTTTGAGTTATCTAATATTGTTTACTTCAAAAAAAAAAACTGTTCAAGACAATATTGTAAGGTCTAGTTATCAGATGATACCTCTTTATGTTTTCTATTGACTTGGCTCCATAGTCAATATAAGTTTGATATTTCAACTTAGACCAATGTAAGTATCCTAGCCATAATAATATTATTAGATAGTTGTATTTGTGTATTTAATGACACAAATTTTTGTGCTATAATATCTTCAGAATTGTGGTTCACGACGTCGTTCTTGACACATTAGTTAATAATTAGTGACATACAGTTCAAAGGTCATTACTAGCCAAAGTTTAACATTTAAAATGCATTAGCGAAAATCTTGTTTTATTTTTTTGGTTGTCAACATGATTCGAAAAGACGAATTTAACATGGTTTTAACATGGTTTAACATGGCAGGAGTACTTAAAATAAAATTAGAGAAACGTACACAGGATAAAGCGAAGAAGTAAAACCAAACGAAAACGCGAAGACAATTGTTAAAAACAAAATATCTGAAGCTTGAATGGAACGTTTAGCTAATTGCTACTTCTGCCGTTCTTTTCTGTTTGTGTTTGAATCTTATATTAACCTCAAGGGAATGACTTCGAAAATTCCTACTTTAGATAATTAAATTATCATTTTTTTACAACACTTTACCTGAATTAACCTAATCAATCATAATTATTGATTTTTATTTGCTTTATCATTAAAAAAGTATTGTAATGCGTAGAATTTGCAAATTTATTGAGTAAGAAATTGAAAACTATACGTTTTGTTTATCAATAAAAAAGTATTGTAATGCGTAGAATTCGCAAAATTATTGAGTAAGAAATTGAAACTATACGTTTTGTTTATCAATAAAAAGGTATTGTAATGCGTAGAATTCGCAAACTTATTGAGTAAGAAATCGAAACTATACGTTTTGTTTATCAATAAAAAAGTATTGTAATGCGTAGATTTCGCAAAACTATTGAGTAAGGAATTGAAAACTATACGTTTTATTTATCAATAAAAAAGTATTGTAATGCGTAGAATTTGCAAATTTATTGAGTAAGAAATTAAAAATTATTAGTTTTGTTTATCAATAAAAAAAGTATTGTAATGAGTAGAATTCGCAAAATTATTGAGTGAAAAATTGAAAAATATACGTTTTGTTTCTTTCATGAAAGGACAGAAGCCATTGAGTGTGCTATTTCCAAAAAATGAAATTCCCATGTTTCTGTTATTCATGTAAATATGCATGAGCTTGTTGTGAATTGTTACTAACAGCTTGATACTCGCAGTTTTGTATGTACGCTTACACACCAGTACACCAACTGTTACTGTGTACATACTTACACACCGATATACGCAATTATACACATGTACTTACACACCAGTACACCAACTGTTACATATGTACTTAAAAATCAATACTAGAAGTATTTCGTGCATCTACTCGTGCTTTTACAAAAATATTATATACGTACATAAACAGCGGCATACACAATGATAAAAAAGCCTCTGCACACCAGTATACACAATGGTACATAAGTCCCTACACACCGGTATACACAAAGACACGCACATGAACTTACGCAATAATACATGAGTAAGTCCCAACACATCGTAAAACATCCTGTTACATGCGTCCTTACACACCAATACATTCATTGTTACATGCGTACTTACACACCAGTACATTCATTGTTACATGCGTACTTACACATCAGTACATTTATTGTTATATGCATACTTACACACCAGTACATTCATTGTTATATGTATACTTACACACCAGTACATTCATTGTTACATGCATACTTACACCCCAGTACATTCATTGTTACATGCATACTTATACACCAGTACATTCATTGTTACATGCATACTCATACACCTGTACATTCATTGTTACATATGTATTTACATATCAGTACACACACTGTTATTTACGTATTCACACATAAGTACATACACCGTTATTTACGCATTCACACATGAGTAAACGCTCTGTCATTTGTCGAGGTCATTTTATCATGTAGAAAGGACACTTTTACACACGGAATAGATTAATTACACCTTGTTAATAGCAAGACATTACTTTAATAGTTTCGTTTTGAGTTTACTTACTGATTAAGTATTCGTTTATGACAATTTACAAATTTTAGAGTAAGGAATATTTTATCTTTTTTTTTTTTAGAACAAGTACGACGTTTCGATCACTGGTGCGATCATTCTCACATACGCAGGTTTTTGCATTTAAATCAACATTCAGCAATCTAATATAACACAACAACTGTTAGATTGTTGATTCAAGTAGTAAAACCTTGCACCGTGTACTTGAGAATGATCGTACCAGTGATCGAAATGTCGTACCTGTTCTAAAATAATATTCCTTACTGTAACATCTGTAGCTTGTAATAAAATAAAGACAATACTTTTTCTTAATTGTGAAATTCTTATCATTTTCAGTAGGGTTATATAATCAACATACAACGCTGTTTTTGTCAATATTTCAAGCTTGTCACATATCTTTGTTTAATGGCCCTGTGGACAACGTATGTACATTTTACAGTTTATTCAAGCACCACGTGAAGTGTGCCTAAAAAGACACTCGCTTATAGAAAACTCTCAGTAATAGCGGTTTGATCAAAACAGTGACCCTATACTATGTTTAGTGAATATTTGCAAGATTTCCGGCATTTGAATGATATCTTGCTTATTTGAAATATAAATTGATTTCACTCTATGGAAAGAACCAATTGCAGTGGTATGTCGGAGAGATGGAACTCGATTAAATCAGTGAATAGAAAAGGCTGTCAAAAATAATTGTTTTTCTGTTAATATCCACATTATTAATTTTCAAAAGTCTGTCGCTCGGTGGTTCAGGGTTAATTTTCTATATACTAAAATAGTCCAATGGACAGTTTTGCGCTGAAACTAACAATCAGGAAAAACTTTCTAAGATCCGTACTTACTAAGAATTGACAATGACTAATAAACAATACGTTACACGTGTAGTAAACAAATAAAATAAAGGTTCAGTTACTGCACGTCTTTTAATGATTTAGTAACGAAATACATGTAGAAATCCCAGGCAAAGAATCTACTGGCTAAAAACAAAGTATTGTCAGTCTATGTAAGGATATTTGTCTCCTGTTTACTTCATATTTGACTGATATCATAGGAGAAACTGGCATGGTAAAAATCACTTGCACCACCACTAATGCTTTTATTTTCTGTTATTCCAGTCCAACACAAAACACTTTCTTCTTTATGTATTTTTGACCTAAGAAATTTAAACTGAAATGCTATATTTTTTTTCCTTCTATGTCACTGGGTTTCATCATGGTATGCCACCACTTGGAAATGTTGTCTGTGTTTGCTTAGAACTTGTGGCTTGTTTGTTCTTCTTCTTTTATAAAGATCTCCATCTAACTCTGGAAGAAAATTACAGTATTTGATGATTTTGCCCTCTTTAGGGTGTTTCTCGCAGTTACTCTTCAGAAGTAAACTTGAAGTTTGTTACAATTAGTTTCATCATTTAAGAACCCTGTCAGCCTTTACAAAATATTTGAATGATACCAGGTCACGGATGCTAGAAAATAGGTCCACTTTTAAAAGTTTTGCGCGTCAAATAAAATAATATATGGCAGAAAATATCTATGTCACTTTGATTTAT